CTATAAACTAATTTATAAATTTTTATAAACTGAAACAGAATAAACTGATTTTTTTCTGTGTTATAAAATGATTTATAAAGGTTTATAGTTTGATTTGCAAGAATTTATTTGCCCGATCCCAAGAACTCTAAGATCGAAAATCTCAATAAGAACATTGGAGTTTTGTCTGTGAAACTCACTCCTGAAGATGTCTGAACTAGAGACCATTGGCCACCCAGATTCCATGAAAGGAGAAAGGTTCAGTAACATAGTGCCTAACTTTAAGAACTCAGACACTCCACCATTGTCTTCTTGGAGGACTGCTTTAATGCCATTTGAAAGTTTCTNTTGTCTGTGAAACTCACTCCTGAAGATGTCTGAACTAGAGACCATTGGCCACCCAGATTCCATGAAAGGAGAAAGGTTCAGTAACATAGTGCCTAACTTTAAGAACTCAGACACTCCACCATTGTCTTCTTGGAGGACTGCTTTAATGCCATTTGAAAGTTTCTCGGGCTATGGTAGTACAGGAGGACAGCATGCTGCGGTTTGGTGCACTCACTTTTTTCAATCCCCATTGGGTTTCTTGACTCTGCTTCAAAAATGTTCTTTAACCCATTCAGGTTTGTTCCCTTGTCTTTTTGAACTTCAGCTCCTCTTAATGTTCAATGAACAGTATAAGTCTCTCTGAGTCTGAGTAAAGTTCCAACAATATAAGTCTTATAAATAATTTATAAACGATCTAGTTAGCCCTTATAAATAATTTATAAGATATAGTTTATTAATTTCTAAAAATGGTTTATAGAGTTCTAAAATTTATTATAACCTTTTAAAAAGACTAAGTAACTCTAATAAATGATTTATAAAACATTTATATATGGTTTGTAAACATTTATAAATCTTTATAAATGATTTATAAACATTTATAAATTGTATAAATCCTTATAAAATCGTATAAGAAACTTAAGCTCATGTTCTCATAAATCTTTATAAAGATCTATAAATGAAGCCACTGAGAACTTATTACATGCAATCTGAAGAGCATGAAGCCAACAACCAGTCTGTTGTGTACATGCAGCCTCCATTTATTCGACCTGCAATTTTCTTGGATCAGAGGAGAACATAACATGTACCTGAACTCCTTTAATCTTATGACCAACGTTTTCTCCGTCACTTTTGCAGATTTTTTCATTGTATGTGCATCTGTAACACTAGGAGCATTGCTCATCAGCCTTTTCTTTTCCTCTTCTATAGATTTATTTTCTCTGCAATATTTTCCTACAATAAGAATCACAGTATGCTGAATTTGATAACACGTATAGACATACCTTGTGTTTGATCCATCTTTCATTTTATCTACATATTCTTCGATGGATTATTTGTGTTTGCAAACGAAACATCTATAATGATTAATAAAACTATTTACGTGTTTTTATAAGAGTTTATAAAACCTTGTATGAACCTTTTAAGAAGTTGATAAAACTTATAAATATTTATAAACTATTTATAAGAGTTTATAAAACCATGTATAAGAACTTATCACCCATTTATAAGAGTTTATAAATCTATTTACAAGGTTTATAAATCTATTTATAAGGATTTATACAAAATATTAAAAGAGTTTAATAATCTTCATAAAACAATTTATAAGAGTTTTCATTTAGAAGAGTTTATAAATCATTTATAAATAGATTTACTCAATGCACTTCTAATGTTCTTCGACTCGTATACGGTCCCAACGCATCCTATTCACACACTGTTTTAGAATATCAAAAAGCATGCTCTTCTTAGAATATCAGAAAATAATAAAATCTTATATAATGTTGACAAGTTTTATGAAATAGATATAAAAACTCTTATAAGAGAATATATATATAAAGTCATTTTATAAGGATTTATAAATTGTTCATAAGGTTTAAAAATCATTTATTAGTGTTTATAAATATATTATAAGGGTTTATAAAACACTTATAAAGTATCTAATATTATAAGAGTTAATATATTATGTATAAAAGCCTATATATTATTTATAATGGTTTATAAGGGTTTAGAAACTGATTTATGAAATCTTATAAACTGATTTATAAGATATTTTATTTTGATTTACAAGAATGTATGAACTGATTTATAAGGTAGCCTTCTTAACACTACTCCCACTAGCACTTCTTGAATTTAGTAGTCTGCTAGCAACCTGTGAATTGATTTTGCGCTTGACACCATACTGACTCCGTTTCTTCTTTTCATCGGTTATAATATTATTTATAAGCCATTTATAATTAGTTATATTTTTTTATAAATAAGTTTATAAGCCATTCTAAATTAGTTTAAAATCATTGTATAAGTCATTTTTTATAAATAAGTTTATAAGCCATTCTAAATTAGTTTGTATAAGTCGTTACGAGCATCTCTCCTCCACCACCACCACAATTTGCAACAAAATGACAGCCAAGTTAATGGAAACATTTACAAATCATTTACATCTCTCCTCCACCTCCACCACAATTTGCAACAAAATGATAGCCAAGTTAATGGAAACATTTACAAATCATTTACAAGACTTCATAAATCATAATATAAGGTTAATAAGAACATATAAGAGTTTATAAACCATTTATAAAGATTTATAAGAATTTACAAAGGGTTTACAAACCATTTCTATGTGTTTATAAAGATTTTATATAGAATCTATAAAGTTTAATAAATTAATTATAAGGTTTTATATAGGTTTATAAGGGTTTATATGTTTATAAAAAGTTTATATAAGATTTATAAGGCTTTATAAAATGTTTCAAGGCAACAACTTGGACCAAATGGTCTGGTAAACATTCATGGGCAATGATTTGAAAGTATAGGCCTTTGAGTTATGGTAAAGATGAGAGAATTAAGCTGTGTTGAACATAAAGTAGATTTTCAATCCACAATGTCCTCTGTATAGTGGATGTTTCTTGTTTTTTTCAAACAACATTAAAAGAAACATATCAACTAACATCTAAAGGGTATGACACTATAAGCTAACTTTGAAAGTCTAGAAACAGCTCCTCCATCCATTCAGGTAAAGTCAATACCCTTTTAGTGTATCCTTTCCTTCTTCAATTCACCGTAAAAGTAAAACGCCAAGGGAGAGAGCTAGAGCAAGTGCAGCAGATGAAACTCCCCAAACCCAGTATTGATGTGCTCTTCTACGGTTTAGGATGGCTTTAGGTAGAGCTTCTGTTCCTCTCCCACGGTGTTTGTACATACACCTTTTCTCCTTTGGAAACAATGACCTATGTTTCTCTTTCCCTGAAACTGCTGAAGTCTTAACCTTCTTCAGCTCATTGGTTATTTCTTGTGATTGGTCTAGTTCAGAAGAGTTTAATGCAGCTTTCTTCTTAGCTTTCTTCTCCGATTTGGCAGAGAATAGCCCTTCTCTGAAGCTACTAGCTTCTTTCTTGCTCTTCTTGTCAACAGCCGAACATCTGCTCATATTAAACGGCTTGATAGTCTCAGAACTAGGCAACCTGTCATCACTTACACAATTGCTGCTACTCAACACATTCATGGTCAAGTCTTCACCAGTAACAGCATCAGTTTGACTCGAAAAGTCAGCAACATTCGAGTCCTTCTCACACTCTCTCTGACTAAGTTCCACCACAGAAGTATCTACTGCATTGATCTGTACGTACCAGTCACCTGGGAAACGAAGGCAGTGTGCAGTGTTTGCTTTCCCTTTTATCAATCTCTCAGTACATTCGTCTTAGTCTACACCGTCTTCTCAGCCACTGACCCCAAGAGAAGTGCGCGTGACTCTCACGTCCCTGTAAGCATTGCATCGTTTTTAGCTTCAATGGCTTTCTGAATATGATCCTCTTTGTTCTCTCCCTGGTTCAGCTTGCTCACTTCGTCCTGCAACTGAAGTAATGAAACCGCACCTACGAACAAAAAACAAGGATCTTTTTGGTTTTACCCGGAAGCCAAAAAAACTCAACTTAAAGATTGTTTTGTTTCTTTTACCAGAAGCAGCCATCACTTGAGATTTGATCAGGTGGCCTTTGTCACGCACCCATTCAGCTAAGAAGGGTATTTTCATGAGACGTTTGTCCTTCCCAAGTTCTTTGGCA